GGGAGTGATCCCCTGGTGTATACACTAAGTACTCATCAAGGGAGATGCCAGGATGCCGGTGAAAGCCTCTTAGTTCAAGGAATTGGAACTGTCTCCCCTTGGATCTAACCTTCTTAGCTTCTATTCCTCAGGCACTGTATTATTCTACGAATTTAGCGCTTCCCAGTAAATGAAATAATAATAATAATAATAAAAATAATAATACACAAATGACCTCGTACTTAAAATAGGAAATTCAAGACATTTCGGTCCGTGTGAATATGATAATTTTGTATAATACTGATAAGTAAGACATATGTGCAGCAGTTAAGTATCTTTATTCCGAAACTTTGTAAAGACGATGTAATCAGTTCTTCACCCTCGAGAACGTAATTTTGAGGTGGTCAGTCTCAACTTCTGTTGCCTCTTTTGTATTCGACTGAAGAAGCCTACTGTGTAGTCGAAACGTTTCAGATTATGGATACCAAACTGTTGCACATGTATCTTACTTATCATTTCGGTCAATCTTGGACTAGTGACAGGCTACACTGTCGTTATAAATTTCCTCTTATAAGAGCGGGTTGTTTGTGTATTGTCCCAGCCACAGTATCCTGACTTTTTCACTCTTTAATGATAATAATCTAAACTGAACTGCATTGTCAGGGAATGTACTAGACTACGGATATGCGTGTGCGCGAGTGTCTGCGCTTCCAGTGTTCCACTATGGGACGATTCTTTGTAAACTGAGAATATAAGCATTGCTCGAGTAAACTTACCTATAGCAAGCAGATGCTGTTGTTGCTGCTTCCTGAGACCTGTGTGCTGCTGCTCCTCCATGTGACCTCTGTGCTGCTGCTCCTTCCTGTGACCTCTAACTGTGCTCCTGCCTGATTGGTCAATGGGGTTTACACTCTCGACTATTGTAGGGTTGTTAAGGCTTCACGTAACTATCTCACCACCAGACAAGAAATTTTTTATCATTAATCGGAGGGGGGGGGGGTATAAAAGTAAACTGTCAGCATATATACGCTGAGAGACATGCACTTCTTAGTATATATGGTGAGTGCTGCTGCCCGTGGAGCGCACTGTAAGTGAAACTGCCGCCCCTGACTTCAGTCTTTTATCCTCAGTCTTATTTTATAATTACCGAGGTATCTGTCACGACCCTAGGGACATTTGTAGGTATCTTGACGTTCAATTTTTTTTAAACGATGCGAGTTATTTTAACTTTATTTGATATAGTATATCTTCGTTGTGGGTGTTTTGTTTTGCATTTTTTTTTTTGTAATACGGCTTTTAGCTTGCGAATGTGAATGGAAGTATTATCGATTTTTTTCTTTGCTGTCAGAGTGATTAATGGCCTTAATAGATCAAAGTGCCTTGTAAATCCAGCCGGTGTTGTACTTGCCTAGTTGTGCGGGGGAGGGGTCGGGTCTTCAGGACCTGCCTCAGTTACTCTTTTTGTTCTTATTTAGCAAATTTGATACATTCGCATTGTGCTGCTGATTGTCTCTCATTCTCCAAGCACTCTGTGGCCCTTATGGGTCGTTTAATAATGACAAAACAATAATGATAAATTACGAAAGTTTGCACTAGATGCTGTGGCTGAAATAACAAAAAGACACAATACCGTGACTGGAACAATACACAGATAACCCGCACAGAGGAGACTGATACTTATGACGAAGTGTAGGTCCGTTGTCATGAGTTTCAGTCTCCTATGTGCAGACTTCTTCCACTTGCCAACAGGTTTGCCTGTTCAGGTTCCTGTTATAGATAGTGGGATGCTTCTTTTACCTCTTCCAAGCCTTGTATTTAGCAGTAGCAGCAGCCTCTCCACAAACAGCCGAACTAAGGCTGATCTGAAGGTCTCGTCACTGTAATGCTATGCGTCATTGGTCAGATCTACTTGTAAACCACAGTAGGACCACTTGATAACAGGAGAGGAACACGTGAAAGACCTGGGTGTACTGTCAGCCGACCTATCATAAGGCAGTGTTGCGAAAGTCAGAACGATGACGGGGTTGGATAATGAGAATTTCTAAAACTGTCTGGATTCTACTTCTTCCGCCTCGTCATCCAAATTAGGTTAGGTAAGGTTCGTCAGGAAACAGGACAAGTGTTCCCCGACGCGGGTCTTAGTCATATGATGACCCGCCGTTGGAGCTTTTGGTCATCTGACCGAGGCCTTCCGCTGGCTTACCGGTCCACCCCTTTAAAAATTACGTTCATCGTCATCCAGATCGTTCTTTCTAACAACCCTCAGATTTAGGGCTGTTAGGAAGCAGAAAATACTTGTAATTGTCGTGACTGCTTCTTTAGTTTCCATCAATGGCGTCATACGGAGCCTAGGGAAGGAGAGGCAATCAGGTTTGAAGCGAGGGAGGGGAAGGTATCTCAAGTTCCTTGGAGGAAGAACCCTTCACCAGCATCGAGACACCCCTTCCTTGATGGATCTGAACCTGTGACAACAACTGTTCTTGCACGAAATTTCTTGAAATAACAATTTAGGTCAGTCATTGTGTTTTTTTCCTGCCTCTGAGTGGGGTGATAAAAGTGTCGTCTGGCGGTGTTTTCTTAATATTCTTGCCCTCTCGAGTGGGCTGGAATGGGGCAGGGGGCTCATTGACAAAGAAAGAGGGGGGGATATGGTATTGGTGGGGTGGTAGGAAGTGGAATGGTGGTGGGGGTGGCTGGTAGTAATGAGGTTGGTTTTGGTGGGTGTTGTGGTGTTGATGGTTGGTGGTATGTGTTGGAGTGGTTGGTGTTGTGTGTTTGGGGTGTTTGGTGATGTGTATTGGGGTGGTTGTGGTGATGTGTGTTGGGGTGGTTGGAGGTGGTGATGTGGTTGAGATGGTTGGTGTGTTGGTGTGGGTGGTGATGTGTGCTGAGGGTGGTTGTTGGTTGTGGGCAATAGGGTGGTGGGATTTAAGGTGGTTGGTAATGGTAGGTGATTGGTGGTTGTTTTGGGTAATAAATTGATTGTGGGTAATAGGATGGATGATGGTTGTTGGTATCGTTGGTTGTGAGTAACGAGGTGGTTGATGGTGGTAAGTTTGGGATGGATCATGGTAGAAATGCTGGTGATGATAGTAGGGAAGGGAGGATTGACCTGGGAAATTAACCTTATTTACAACCTGGCAACGGTACTTGATGTGACCTTTGACCTGGTATATCTCGTGTTGACAGGTGAAAGCTGACAGCTGACCTAGTTCCGGCTGGTAATTAATTTGACACCTAAAGAAACGGTAGTAATTATGTATCGACTGTTTAAATTGTCTAATAAACACACACACACACACACACACACACACACACACACACACACACACACACACACACAATGTTTTCATTATCATTTTTGTACTTTTTGCATTTCCAATATTAACTTTGTAGAAATTATTTACATTGTTAGTGGCGTTCATCTTTTTTCTACATTTATTTCTACTCTCCTCTCTCTCTCTCTCTCTCTCTCTCTCTCTCTCTCTCTCTCTCTCTCCTCTCTCTCCCAGAAAGAAATTAACACACGGGGAACACAGTTATCAGGAACACACAATGTTATCGCCACCTGGAGATAACTAGAGACTGCGTGGGAACACACACTTTTCCTCTTGGTAATCTTATCTTAAACTCGGATAAAACATATTTTCAATTGGTGCCTTTCCTGCTTTCCATTTTTTCTTCTTCAATTTATATATATATATTTTTTTGCCCCTATTGAAATAGCTAAATAACTGGACACAGTCCTACGACCTACTCAGGAAACTGGGCACAGTCCGACGACCTACTCAGGAAACTGGACACAGTCCGACGACCTACTCAGGAAACTGGACACAATCCGACGACCTACTCAGGAAACTGGACACAGTCCGACGACCTACTCAGGAAACTGGACACAGTCCGACGACCTACTCAGGAAACTGGACACAGTCCGACGACCTACTCAGGAAACTGGACACAGTCCGACGACCTACTCAGGAAACTGGACACAGTCCGACGACCTACTCAGGAAACTGGACACAGTCTGACGACCTACTCAGGAAACTGGACACAGTCCGACGACCTACTCAGGAAACTGGACACAGTCCGACGACCTACTCAGGAAACTGGACAAAGTCCTACGATCTACTCAGGAAAAGTGTTAACGTGGAGGTTAATACCTGAATGGAAAGTGAGAAAGTATCTGAACCTGATTGAAAAGCAAAATGCCGAAAATGAGGATTAATGCTAGACAGCTTTCCTACTAGACTGCATAACAGAAAGGGTCATTATTTTTCATTCTTTCCTTGTTTAACCACGGCACTTTTATATTTCTTGTTAAGAACAAAAAGGCACAATACCGTGACTGGAACAATGCACAGATAACCCGTACATAAGAGAGAGAAGCTTACGACGACGTTTCGGTCCGGCTTGGATTATTTGGAAGTCACTGACTTATAAATGGTTATTTGTGTATATTTCTTGTTGTGGGTACCAGCGACAGTGTCGTGGTGAGTTGTGGAGCAACTTTGCGAGTGATGTTTAAGCTCGTCTTGATTCAAAAGCTTCTCTGTAACAAGGGTAATTTCTGAGTTGTCTCATAAGGAATTACATCTGCATCTAGTTTTAATATTTTTCGGGTAAACTCGTGTATGAAATGTTTCTTCAGTATGCTGTATGTGTGTATGAGGGTTACCCTCATGAGCAGTTATGGTGACCTTTGCATTCCTCAGTATTAACTGAAGAGATTGTATGGTTTTCTGATGACTACTGACGGTGCCATTTTGAGAGTGTGTAGTAGAGGTACGCCGTCCCTGGCTACATTTATATCCAAATAGTATTTTGCCCCAACTGTAATGTGTGTTATTGAAGGGCCCTCCCCATCCTCTGAAACTCCCTCCCATCCTCTTAGACTCCCATCTTCTGAGACTCTTATCCTCTAGCTTTGTTGTGTGTTCCTGAAGATTCCCTCCCATCCCCTAGCCTCCTGTAACATGTTCATGAAGATGCTCACTGACCATTCTTGCTTGGCTTCGACAGATGGCGGCGAGTTCGGGGCGCTTCGAGCTTGAGGTGGTTGAAGTTCAGAACCCGCGCTCTGAGGTGCGCTCTGGCGGGTGCTGCGGAGGGATGCCCAGACCTCCAGAAGGAGGACCCTGCCTCTCTCAGTGCCGCACGGTGGTGGCACTGTGCCTCAAGGAGTACCAGAGCGTGGCCCAAGACGGCGGCGAGGTCCGCACGGGCAGCGGGAGCGGTGGGGCGAGGAGCGGGTGTACCTACGGTGAAGATACTTCAGAGGTGCTGGGGCCATCGTCGTTCACCTTAGCACAGTCTCCCCCCAAACCCCACATCTACCTCCCCTTCACCTTCTCCTGGACGGTAAGTGTCACGTTTTCACTTAAGACGAAACAGTACTGTTTTTTATTAACACCCTGGTCGTATCCCGCTGAGGCAGGGTGACCCAAAAAGAAATACTTTCACGACATTCATTCCATCACTTTCTTGCCAGAGGCGCGTGGATACTACAGTTCAGATGCCCCTCCAAACTGAAAATATCCCCCACCCCTCCATCAGAGTGCAAGCGATGTACTTCTCACCTCCAGGACTCAAGTCCGGCTAACCGGTTTCTCTGAATCCCTTCATAAATAATCAAATCAATAATAATAATAATAATAATAATAATAAAATGCATGTTACTCACCAATTATAAAGAATGGGGGGACAGTTCGTCCTTGTTTTTTCTCGACTTTATTTTTTTTAGCTCATTAGGAAGGAGTTAGACCATTTAAAAAAAAAGCCACTTCAAATTCCTGGCTCTGGCATTTCCCCGCTTTTCAATTATAGGGATTATTGACATTCTACGAGAGGCGGCATTCCTGAGGAGAAGTCCAGGGGAAACGAGGAGGCCGGATTCTTGAAAGATTTAATTGTACCCCCTAAATTTTGATACGCGAATCTCCCTTGCTATCAAAAAGCTACCTCTGTGCTGCTCCAGACTACCTTGTGTTACTGCAGACTACCCTTTCGTGCTCCAGACTACCCTCTGCTACTTCAGACTACCCTCTGCTACTCCAGACTACCCTCTGCTACTCCAGACTACCCTCTGTTACTCCACACTACCCTCTGTTACTCCAGACTACCCTCTTACTCCAGACTACCCTCTACTACAGACCACCCTCTACTACTCCAGACTACCCTCTGCTACAGACTACCCTCTACTACAGACCACCCTCTGCTACTCCAGACTACCCTCTACTACAGACCACCCTCTGCTACTCCAGACTACCCTCTGCTACTCCAGAATACTCTCTGTTACCACAAACTATCCTCTGCTACTCCAGACTACCCTTTGCTACTCCAGACTACCCTTTGCTACTCCAGACTACCCTCTGTTACTCCAGACTACCCTCTTACTCCAGACTACTCTCTACTACAGACTACCTCTGCTACTCCAGAATACCCTCTGTTACCACAAACTATCCTCTGCTACCCCAGACTACCCTCTGCTACTCCAAACTACCCTCTACTACTCCAGACTACCCATTACCTCTTCGCTGCTAATCTTAAAATTACGGGACAGCGACAGTGTATTGGACTGAAGAAACCACTGCAGGGCGAAACGTTTCCTCAGTCAAGATTCCCAACCTTCTCTCCCTCCCTAAAGCCTCCACTCTCTCCCTAAAGCCTCCACTCTCTCCCTAAAGCCTCCACTCTCTCCCTAAAGCCTCCTTGCCCCACCACAGTCACCAACATCTACCCTGCACCCACCTCTCCAATTAACACATAACTAGGGAACCCTGGTAGGCTTGATACCACTTTAGAGTGTGGTACTGGAGGTGGTCACGTCTCTGGGACAGGCAGGACTCTTGCCTAAATGGATTTGGGATGGACCAGGAGCAAGAGAGGACGAAAAAACTGGCAATTAGGACGTAGTTAATGATTTAGGAGGAATTTTATGTGGAGAGCGGCAGCAGGAGTGAGAGGAGGAGGAGGAAGAGGAGGAGGTAAAGTAGGAATAGGAGGAGGAAAAGGAGGCTCAAGAGATCCAGAGATAAAATGGAAGAAATATGATAAAGGGAGAGTAAGAAATGGGTGGAAGGGGAAAGGTACAAAATTGAGTAGGAGACGGAATGGAAAGAGAGAGAGAGAAAGAGAGATTTTATACAATGGTTTAGAAATCTGACATTCAGATGAATGAGGCACTTGTGCAACACTTGGGTGTCTTTATTGAGGGAAATGTTTCGGCAGGTAGTACCTTCATCAGTCCATTACAGAGTAAAACGGTGGAAGATGAAATGAAGGAGTCTGAGGTTATCAGTCTCTCATCCTGGAGATGTTTTCACTTCATCTAACCTGTTAGGGGTTAAAGTCTATCGACTGTACAAGGGTCATTAAGGCAGCACATGATCCTGTATACTCAAGTCAGTAATACGTTAACTTTTAAAAGTTTATATTACAATGCACATTATCTTTTGCATTTATTTAATATTATGTTACAACAGTTATTTTCGTTCGTAATTTAAATGAAAATATCTTATAAACACACACACATATATATATATATATATATATATATATATATATATATATATATATACAAACACTGATCTCTGGCTAAAGGAGACTCGAACCTACGAACCTTGGAACAAGGTACGCAGTGCTATACCAATCTCACCACACTGGACAATACCTTGGCGTGCAGTTTGCGCTACACTTTGATCCAAGGCAGCCAGCTTTCAGGGAGAAGGCTTACAGCTTTTCATCTCATCCCCTGCATGCATCAGCCTGCTCTTGCGAATTCCTTTTATATATATATATATATATATATATATATATATAATATATATATATATATATATATATATATATATATATATAAAATATATATAGCATATGCACTAAAGTCGCAGACAGGCGAGCTAGTACTTTTAAGTACCTGATAAGAGCATATATAGTAACGTGCCTAAGTACCTGATATATAAAGTAACGTACCTAGGGGTACAGTTAAGCTGATTGCTGTACAGATACAAGAGATGCAAGACTTGTGTCAATAATAAGTTCAGTTTAGGTATTGAGATGTGTGTATGAAGCTCTGATTTCAGCTGTGCTATTAATTTCATTGTACATAATATTTCCCCCTAGACATATTTTGGATTATTAAATTTCTCAAATTTTTTTTGTAGAAAGGTTCTCTTCTCTAGTTGTAACTTTGTTATGGAACCCAGCTTGAAAGCTCTTTAAAAAAGTGAATGGCTTTGCTCTGATGAGTTGAAGGTTGCTGTGAAGTTGTATAATGTTAGGAGGCAGATGCAGGCCAGATACTGGAGGGGCATCAATGACGTGATCTTTTAGTATTCTCTGGGGCGCTGTATGATCCTTGTGACTTTAGCGCTTAGTTCTGATTGTTATAATAATAATATTAATAATAACATTCTCTGGTAAATAGGTGTTATAGTTTATCGCTCTTGTTAACAGCAGTATACAGAGAAATACACGTATACCTCTTTGTGTCTGTATCTTTTTATCCTCAAACCGAATGACGTGAGTTCATTCAATTCTAATTCATTCAATTTTGTCTTATTTTATTTAATATGTAGTTTGGTTTAGTCCTCTGGATCACTTTTGTATGCCCCATTGTTTTTATTTCGCCTCTTGTTAAAAAGCCAGTCCTCGTCTATCCTGTCTCTTCTCGAGTATTTTATATGACGTGAGCCTGTCCCCTTTTCTTTCTCGTTCTCGCAGTGACAGAAAGCCTAGCTCCTGTGTATAATCTGTTTCCCTCATCTCAGGCACCAGTCTGGACGAACTCCTTTGAACTTTGAGCTGCACTCTTGTTTTTTCTTTCTCTTCTGGCCGGGGAGTTGATCCCCAGACCTCACAGATCAGAGCTACGACTCTAACCACTAGGCTATGGCAGTTGGTTTTGAGTTGCACTCATTTACATTTTGAGGGTTCTACACTGGCTCTACGAAGTCAAAGAATGTGTAGGTACGAGTGAGTGAATGAGTATGTGTGCAAGTGTGAGTGAGGAGAGGAGTGTGAGTGGGAGAGGAAAAACAGTAAGCGGTTGTCATCATCCGTTCATGCAGAAACACAGCGTCATTGAGAGATTTCAGAAGTTGATCGCTCGGCTGGCTGTCCAGGGATGAAGTGTTGATTTAAATGAGTCACCTCGGAGGAATTATTGGGCCGGATATTTGTACTGATAACATTGTTGGCTAAAATGAATTGTTCTTGGGCGGGAGGAGGGAGAGTTGTGGGGGGAGGGAGGGAGGGGAAGATGTGGGAGGTTGGTTAAGTGATTAATGGGGTTTAGTCTATTGACTACACTATGGTCATTAAGACTCTTCGTACCCATTTCACCTCTAGACGAGAATACTTTAATCTCTAAAACAGAGATTAGATTAAACTCTCAGCATATATACACTGTATATATTTGCTGAGGGTGTATATATCCTGTATGTATATGGGATGTTGAAGAAGAAAACGTGTAGTCAGGTAGAAGGGGGAGTTTGTAGAAGGGGCGTGCATGTTTGACTACATAAGCTATGATGTGAATGTCCACAATATGAGGCACGCTGGCAGTACTCATTCTCCTAGCTGATGCAGTTAATCCTCCTACGAGGATTACAAGGATGTGTGACCATAGAATATAAGGAGATGGAAAGGAAGATGAGGGGAGAATGGAAAGGAGTTGAACAAGGTCCTGGTAAACAGGAGGGGGAAGATAAAAGGCTAATAGCCCATCCACTTTGTTGTGGAAGTTTAAGTGGACGAAGTGGAACTGTGTATAACATAGATGAGTGGCAGGTGAGGTATGTAGGTTCCTAAGATCATACATGTGTATGTACATATGCTTTCCTTATACATGAGTGCGCAGTTGACCGTGAGTTCATTGTAAACACAAACAGCAATCCGTTTTCGAACGTGTTTCAGTGTGTCAGTTTCTGCACGATTTAAACAGACCAAAACTAAACCTTAATCGTTTTAAAATTCTGTTACGCTGTATTTCTAACGTTCTTAAAACTGCTTAGAAATGCACGAGCACAGGTAACGTATTAGACGAGGCTGCTCAGTGGAAAAGCTCCTGGCAACGTGATTCATCCTCATTTTCCACCGTTCGTTATTTTACATATTACTCAGCGTCTGTGCCTGATCTTTCGCTATATACAGAAAAAAATGATCTTATTCGAATTTGGGTCAGGTTAAGGTAGGTTACATGAACCAGTGAAGACGTAAATTTAACCTCAAATAAGAGCCTTAAACACGATGACAATAGGCTAGGAGACGGGAGCTAGGAATAAAGAGAATCAGTTATTTCTATTTCTTGTTTTATTATATTATTTATGATTCCTTGTTTATGCTCTCGTTTCTTTGTT